CTTATAGAGCATGTATAATGAAACTTTGTTGACAGTTGATTACGTCAAATATTACTCTCTACAGATAGAATAGTACGACAAGTTGCCCAGTGAGCGTTCGCATGGATTTCAGACTGATCGGTCTGACCTACTGAGATTATCAAACATAATTAAATAAATTCACTAAACTTACTTGGTGTAATAGTTGTTGTCGATGATGTTACTAATTGAGGTTCGGGTTTAGCTCCATGACATTCAGCTTGTTCATATGGTTTACATGTTTTTGTAATACGATCAAATAAGGATCGATTTGGACATGTTCGTTGTTCTAAATGACTATCAACACATTGAACATATTGTGAACAAACAACTGGATCAGCAAAACGCATTTGACTTGAATAATTTGGTGGACATGAATTTTGACCTTAGGAAATTATTCATTAAAGAAAAATTTAATAAAAAAAAAAGAAAGAAATCATATACTTACATTCGGTTACTTCATGAGGCCAAGCACAACTTTCCAAACCTTTGAATTATATTTTCGATAAATTCATAGATAATTATCAAAAAAAAAAAAGCATTCTTACGGGAACTCCAAATAAGGCCAGATGAACAAAGTAATGCATCACTTTGAGTTCTGATTCCTAAGTTAATTAAATTAAACTTTAAAATTTTTTTTTTGTTTTCTTTAATTACCATCACAATAATGAAATACCGAACAATCATAAGGATCAGAAAAATAACCTGAACTACCTAATGTACATTCAATTGGTGAATATGGTGGTGCAATTTGTCCTTCACCTTAATAAAAATCATTAAAATCAAAATAAATTAATATATATACAGGGTGTCCCAAAAGTCATGTTCACTTAAGAAAATTGAATATCTCCATTACGATTCGAGCAAACGTGCTGATTTTTTTATCAGTGATAGAAGTATGCGCCAAGTTTATATCCATAAAGACATGTCTGGGGAGACCCTTTGTTAAATATCACTATTGACCTCAATAAGAAAGATGTACTTTTCCACAGATAGAAAAAAAAGCAGTATACTTAACGGAGGATTTCTCTCGGCATGTCTTTATGGATATGAAGCCTGAACATGCCTCTATTATTGGTAAAACAATCAGCTCGTTTGCTCTAGCCGTAATGGAGATATTCAATTTTCTTAAGTGAACATGACTTTTGGGACACCCAGTATATATATATATATATATTCTAACATTCAGCATCTTTTGGCCATAAACATCCATTAGCACTTGATGAAAAATGTAATCCAGCATTACAACGATGTGTTGTTTGAAATACTCCCAAAACACACCAATGATATATTGAACATGAACTTGGATCAGCAAAAAATCCTGTTGCACCAGGTCGACATGTATAATTAGTTTTATTCAATTGAGAATTTGTTGTTGTTGTTATTGTTGTTATTGTTGTTGTAACTAAATTTCAAAAATGTTTTATGTTTAAATTATTAAATAAATTAATACCTTCATCATCACCCCATTTTTTTCGACTACCAACACATGGTGTCATACTTTGTAAACTACAACCAATTTTAGTTTCATCCCAAAGCATTCCATCTTTACACCAACGAATTGATTGTGTACCACCATAACAAACATGAAATTTACGACAATCATCACGATCAGCAAAAAATCCATCCTCTAAATTGTTTTTTTGAATAAATTTGAAAAAAAAAATTTAATTTTGATATTAAATATTTATTTTTTACCAGCACAACGTGAACCAGCTTCAGACATATATTGAATTCCAGATAATTTATCATCATTAGTATCTATTTCAAAAAAACAAAAAATAAACAAAATTGAATAAATAGATTAAATTATTTTATTTACATTTAGCAAGTTTTTTCATTTTTGATGTTGTATTTTTTGTTGATGAAAACATAACATTCTTCGTTTTATTTTCAGATGTTGTTAAATTTCCATTGATTGTATATAGAATAAGTGTTACTATATGATTGATTACAATATCGATAAATATTATTAAAAGAAAAACTTACGAAATAGAATAGAATATCTAATAGCCATACTTAATGTACTCTTGTTCACTTTGAATTGTATCCAATGAAAGATAATGTTCACTTGGAATAGATGAATATATCGAATGAGCTGATTCTAGTAGAAGGATTGACAATTTATTGAACTCAACCGACACGTAAGAAGACAAATTTAGACACGTTTCATTCAATTAACAATTGTCGTTCTCATAGGTAAAAGATTAAAAGCAGACGATATTGTTTCTTATTGGCTCATATTGATAAGCTTTAAACAACACAAGACACGATTAACAGTTACTAAATTTGTTACGTCGACATATTGTTTCAATATAGATTGCACGAATTCATAATAAAAACAATTGGATTATATGACATTTATTCTCGTCACTTGTCAAATATTCGAATAGACACTTTCTAATCCATAATAGTATTGTTTTCCACTTATATAAAAATGTTTTCGCTTTTGTTTTTGTATTTTCCCAATGAAACAAATAAAAACAATTTGTCTATTCTCATATTAATTATTATCCATTAAACGTTGCATAAACTTTTTTTCTTTGATCGTTTATCTACACCAAATCGTTCAATATCAATCTCGAATCTAGATTGTTCATGTAAGATATATTTAACAAGTTTAATAATAGAAGGATTTGTGATTGTTACATTACTGTTGAATGTATAATATCGTCTCTGAGCGGTATTACTCGATTGCAACGATCCTTGTAATAACCTATTTGTGGAGACTATAGCTGCAAGTTAAATTTCGATTCAATAACTTACATATCATTGAATTTTCTCGAAAACTCTTTAGAACTTCAATTGTATTCATTTCTTTAGACTATGGTACGAAATTGTTCAAGATGATAACTACTACCAATACATTTGATCAATTGCAAAAAACAATCAATTTAGGAGAAAAGACATCTATTCATTTTTCATTAGTCCCACGTCTACTCGTACGCTATTGGTATGCGTGACGTCACACTTTGTACGCTTGGTACGTGTGACATAACGCGTACGTCACATGTACCGAGTATTACTACCGTATGTTATGCGTACTACCTGTGACATCCATTCGTCACGCGTACCAAGCATGACATTTTTCTTTTTTGTTATTGGTTTATTTTTATGAACCAATAAATAACAAAGAGCGTGCTTTTATAAAACGTTAGTATTTTCTTATAGTAAATTAGTATAGCTTTTCTTGAGCTTAAGATGTTTTACGCGGAAAAACTTCTCATTCATCAATAGAAGCTCATATACTTTATTATTCTTAAAAATTTTTCAATTATTTTAAGTTTTAAAATTTTTTTTTATTATTTAAATTTTTATTATTTCTAGATTAAATAATTTCTTTTTTTAAATATTTTATTATTTAAATTTTTTTATTTCTACATTAAATAATTTATATTTTTTTATTTTTTATTTTTGTATTATTGTATTATTGTAATTTCATTTATTTCTGGATTAAATAATTTATATTTTTTGTTTTTTGAATTTTTTTATAATTTAAATTTCTATTATTTCTAGATTAAATAATTTATATTTTATTTTTTATTTTTGTATTGTTGTAATTTCATTTATTTCTGAATGAAATAATTTCTATTTTTTTTTATTGTTTTATTTTTTTAGTATTTTAATCTTTGTATTTGTAAAAAAAGTAATTTCTAATTTTTTTATGTATTCCTCTGGGTTTTTTGGAGTTGTTTCGCTTTTTAAAATATAAATAAACTAGTAAAAGAAAATAAATTACCTTTCTACAGTTCATTAGAAAATCAGATAAAGACAGCGGGTAGATTCTAGGATGAAAATGAACCAATAAAGAGACCTGTTGCAAAGCGTACGTACGCTCCGTACACGCTGTGGTACGCGATACATGTAACGCTCGGTACGCGTTACGATACCATTGACGTAACACTCCGTACGCGTGACGTCACCTCTACGTACGTCACGCGTACCAATTGTACGTGACGTCACGCGTACCACAGCGTACGAGTAGACGTGGGGTCTTATTAAATCGCAATGATTGACTAGAGACAAAAATAAGTATTTTGCACAATTATAAAGGTTCATATTTGTAAAGTTATGAGATGAAATATGAATAGGATGAATTGCTAGTGGACGCAAAATAATTGGGACGAACTGAATTAGGAAGCTGTGGACCCAGATCCGAGTTTTTTTTTTTGTAATATCAATATCCACGTACAGTTATTTCTTGTGGTTCACTTTCCTATTAGTCGATGCTTAATAAATTCAGACTTTTCGTTTAATTGAAAAGACTAAAAAAAAAAAGGAACTTAAATAGTTAATTGACAAACAAAATTCGTCAAACCAACAGCAACACCAATATCTTCCGCTGTACAAAATAGTCTTAAGAGGAGAGGTTCCCAAATGATAAATCGTTTTTAAGTTAGAATTATACTGAATCGATATGGTCCAGTGAGTAAGTAAAAATAGCCTAGAGTGATTCGAGATGCTTGGCCTTTGTTGCTGAGATATCGAATTTTTAGTAGATTTTCCCTGTTGAATCCTAGTTTACGAGCGTAATCATACTTTTATATTTTGATCTGAAAGTTTGCCCACATTAAAGTCACCGATTAGACTAGCTTGTAGAAAAAAATTTCAGAATATTTTCATTGAATCTCTCCGAGATATGAATTTTTTAAAATATAGATGTTTTGCTATGAATATTGTAAAAACTATGGATATTTTGAAAAATTCATATCTCGAAGAGATTCAATGAAAATATTCTGAAATTTTTTCTACAAACTAGTCTAATTAGTACATTTATCTAGGCAAAATTTCCGATCAAAATTCAAAAGTATGATTTCGCTTGAAAACTGAAGCCCAGCAGCTCGAATCACTTTAGGATATTGACTTACTCACTCGGTCTTTATCGATTGAATATAATCCCAGCTTGAAAGTAATTTATTACTTCGGGGACATTTCCTCGTTAGTTGTATTTATGCAAACGAGATCAAGCAAGAATATGTTCTATGCAATTAATGTAAAATTTTACTTATCTATAAATCATCGTCTGATAATAAATCATTATATAGTCATTTTCGTAGTTGTCCAAATAAAAAAACAACAATTTTCAATACTCAAATAAATATTAATCAGTTTCATGGATCTTTAAAAGATGGATCAGCTATTCCAGATCAAGTTAAGCAGGAAATTAAAGTTGCTTGTATTGAATTTGTAGTACTTGACTATCGACCATTCAAAACACTTAATGATATCGATTTTAAAAATCTTGCACAAAAATTTTTTTAAACTGGTCGATATACACCTATAAGGGAACTACGGATCCACTTTTTTGTAGACTAGGTGTGAACCCACAACGTTCTAAACTGAAGGCGATGAAAAGTAGTGGTACCATTTGTTTTTCTCTATCACTTCACCGAAATAAACAAGCTATTCACCCAATTACTTGTCTCGAAGAATGGTCTTAGCTGAAGTCTGATTTTATTCATTGAAAAATTATCATAATAATTCTCTAGATATATATCACATTCTGTGACATTGAAACGAATTTTTATCTAAAATATTAATATATATTCTGAGAAAACACTATTACATTTCTTGATTAATAAAAAAAAAATCAATTAATATTAACACAGAAAAAAAACAATTTATATAAACAAAAAGAACAAATATACTCTAAACGAACTATCACTTTTACTATGGCCATTATCATTCGACAGTTCCGACTGATGTCGTACGAAAAAAGCCAATAGTGCGTAACATTTCACTTTTTTTATTGTCACTTATATGATATAATCGAAAAAAAACATATGTTAAGAAAGCTCAATATAAAACGAAAAATAGGTTTACAATTACCTGTAATACGTCGTGCTATTCGTCATTTATTTACAATTATAGTAATTACTTATATTATATTTGGAGTTTATTATTATTATGAAGACTATATAAATATTAATGATTCAATTGATTCTATTGCACGATATAATACATATATAGATATAAAAGGTAATTTGATTCCAATATCTGGTTATAAAATTCTTCAATCTGTTGCATCTCCTTCATTACAAAAAATTCATGAATTATTTACTGATCTTGATAAATACAATGAATTAAAAGATTATTTTATATTAGTTTTCGAACAATTTTATCATGTTACATTCACTAAACTAATAAATACTACAACTTTAGACGAAAAACAATTAGAAATATTAGAAAAAGAACAAGATTTACTTGATAAAAAACAATCACAAACAATATGTATTGGAAAAAAATTATTATTTATTGAAAAAAATGAAATACGTTTAGAAATTGAATTCAAACATGATTATATTAATGATTATATGAAATCTTGTCAAAAACGATGGGATGAAAACTTTCCAGAATTAATTATTCAACATTGTACATCATTTTATATAACATTAGCTTATCAATATAAAGATATACCAAATCAAGAGATTTTAAATCGAACCAAAGAAATATTAGAACAATGGCACGACGTACCATTTGAAATTGAACTTGATTCTATTGAAATATGTTCATATTCAAGTTTAATCACTTATGAACCTATTTTTGCTGAATCTAAAAAATAAATTTCATATGCCTTTGTTCTATTTCATAGGTAATGACAGAGAAACGTAATTATTGTTTTGAAAACCTGAACATTTATCTTTTCCAAAGAAATAGATTTTATGTGACATGTAATGGATTTTATATAAAATTCAAGTTTATAGTGAACTTTCAGTAAAATTAAATTATATTTTTCGATTAATTTACAGATTTTCAAATTTTGTGAAAAGACGATAGTTATTATCAATTCGTACACCTAAAAAACAATAAAAAATAAGCGCTGTCTTTTTTAATTAAGCAATCATAGTATTGATCTCAAAGAGATATCTCTGAAATTAAATTGATGAGCTTTATTATCATTAGAATCCGTCAGGTTGGTCCCGGAGTCGGATTTGGGTCTGAAATTTTTCCGTTAGCTGGATCCAGGTCCAAAAATTTAGGACCTCACAGGCTCTAGCCTCTTCTGAGAAATGTGTAGGGGGTGCTGCTCAACGAATACAAAAAAAAAACTAGGGAAAAAACATCTCGTACCTTCGGGACGACTATCCAATTTCGATTAGAAAATTTCATTGAAATTGTCAAAGTACAGTTCGACTAAGGTCGGGTTTGGGTCTGAAAATTTTGGACTTGATGGACTCCAATTGTTATTTAAGGTATATAATTAAACAATGTATCCTTAAAATTTTTTGTCGAACTTTAATCAATTGATCTATGAAGTCATATAACTTTATTGTTCGAAGAATTTTGTACTATAGTTGTTTTTTGTACCTATTGTTTAGTAAAAGACGATAGATTTACAGTTTTAAAAAGAAATTAAAATTTAATTTCGTAATACTTTTGTGAGACATGATCTAAATAGTATTTTAGACTGTAGAGATAGAAATCAAGATCTCGTCCTTCCACAGACATGACATATACTTTAATATTACTGCTTCCTTCTCACACTGTGAAACATATACTCCTGAGACTAAAGTTTAATGCGTGATTAATATGAAAGATAGATGTATGTAAAATTTGTTGTACTTTGTCCTTCTTTCACAGTAACTGTCATACGTAACAATTATCCTCAATATACATTAAAAGTAGAGAGTCATATACAAACTGACATCTATGCTAATGTGCATACCTTCATTTTCAATATCAATAGTTTCATCAAATTTCATACTTCAATACTGTAAACATTACACTAACAATTGTTACCTACTAATTGAAAAATTTGCCTGTGTTCATTCTTCTTTCTCTCTCTTGCTTTTAATATCGAACTGAACGGCTTTGTTCATTTTTCATTATCAAGAAAAAGCTTAATCTAACAAATATATACACGAAACAATTTATCTTCAAAACAAAAACGATTGTAAATTAAACTGAACTTAACTATCAAGAACTCTATGTTTTAATCTACTTAATTTTTATGTGTTTGACATTGAGTCATCATACATTTATTTGTCTTTCACATGAACGTATGACATTTTTTTGTTTTGTTTTCCTTATTTCTCCTTTCGAAAAAGCGAAATAATAATAATAATAATAATAATAATTGTAAGAGCAAAAATGAAACGCGAGCGCATCATTAATGCAAAAAGAAAAAAAAAGAATATACAACCGAAAAATAAACTGAATAATGAGTACGAGAAACAGAGAGACAGAGAGAGAGAGAGAGAGAGAGACAAAAAAGAGAATAAAGTTTGAGAAAGAAACAAAAAAAAAGAAAGAGAGAGTTTTTAAATTCATGCAAATATTGCACACAAAACTGTTCGTTCTCGGAGTGGTGTGCACGACAACGTCTCTTTTCTTTTTTCTTCTCTTTTTCATTTTTGTACATAAACACACACACACACATCAATTTTACAGCAAAGCTAAAACACGCATACAGTGACAAAAAAAAAGAATTGAACAAAATTAAAAAAAAAAACTCATAATCATTTTTGACGTGAACTAGAACCACCAGTTCCTTCATCATCATCATCGACACCACCATATGACTAAATAAAATAAATAAAAATAAAATAAAATTCATTGTAATTTAATGAATATATACTTGATTTGTTTCATCCATTATCATATCTTCATCATCACTCATTAAACGAGTTTTACGGCGACTATTATTATTTCCATTACCAGATGTACGTGATTGAGTTTGAGGTTTCTTAAATTAAAAGAGTATTCGATAATTTCTTTTGCTGAAATTGAAAAGCTCATCAAGTCGAGAAGAAACAAAAAAACGACTTTTACATTGATGAATTTTTTTTGTATTTAAAATCGTATTATTTAGAAAGCTAGATTAAGTATTCATTTTTTACCTTTTTTACATTCGTCTCTTTTTTAACACGTTTTTTCAGTGGTTCTATAAGAAAATATACATAATTTTAATTGAAATAAAATTAAAAATATTTATATAATACCATCATCATCTGATTCTTCTTCTGAATTCGAACTAATTGGAATATCTCCTTTTTCAATACGTTCACGTGCATTTGTAAATACGGATTGAAGAATAATTGAATCTTCATAAATCTAAATAAAAATATGATTGTTTATTTTTTTTGTTATTGTTGTTGTTATTTAATAAAACAAAATTTTACAGTTGAATTTTCCATATTAAATTCTTGTGCATTTTTACATAGAAGCATAACATCAGCTTCAAGTTCATCTACATTTCGATAACGATGTTCAGCAAGTTTTTTCTAAAAAAATAAAAATCAAATCAAATAAATAAAAAGAAAATTTTTTTTAAAAACCTTTATTTTATTAAAATCAACTGGATTTTTAATTGTTTCATAATATTCAGGTAATTCTTTTTGTGTTGGTAAACGCATAAATGGTTTACTTAATATTCGATTATCATCACTAAAAACAATACTAAATAAAAACAATAGATAAACAATAAAAATTCTACCTGTCTCGATATTTAATCACAAAATCTAATAATGTTGTCATTTGTTTAAATAATTTAGCTGGCACTGGATCATCCGAATATTTTTTATTTGTTTCTTTTAATTTACGTTTTCCAACACGTCTACCAACTTTTGAAGTAACAATATCCATATCATTATCACCTTGTTTACTATCATTTTCATCATGTTGACCAACATCATCATCATCATCAAAATCAACATTATTAGCAACACGTCGTTTACGTCGACGTTTTTTCTCCTGATCCGGTGTACCTAATGTTCCATCTTCAATAGCCTAAATAATTAAAAAACAAATATAACTAGAAAAATTTCGAATATAGAGATTAAATTATGAAATATGATAGAATATCTTAGCAATGCAATTCTGATCTGTCCTCGTGAATGGTTGAATTTCGGGAAAAAAAAGGAGGCATTGTATGAACGAATTTCAAAAGCAAAGAAATATCACTTCCCCTGCATAAAACTCATGTATTCATATGAAATATATTTATTTACCCTAAGCCATTCTTTATCGGTTAATGAATCTGAATAATCAACTTCTTTTCTTTGTCGAGTACCACGTCCAAATAAATCTAATGTTTCTTGATCAAGTATAGTTTTTTCTAATTCTTTTGGATCTTTTGTTAACCATGCAGGTAATTCTGACATTTCAAGAAGTCGAGGTTTACGATTAGGCATTCTAGCTTCAGCATGTCTTCGTTCACGATCCATTCTCTTTAAAAAAAACAAAGAAAAAGAGAAAAGAAATTCAATAAAAAAAGAAAAGAAAAACAAAACAACGAACATTAAATAAATTATATTCATCTTCTGTTCGTGCAATCATTTGATTAATAACTTCATCATCTGGAACTTCATCTTCTTCTTCATCACCTTCTTCAGTTTCTTGTAAAAGAATTTGTTGTAAAAATTGTCTTCGTTCATTTCCTGTTGATTTATTATTAAACATTCCAGCTTGAATAACTTTTTCATCAACATTTAATTTATAACGAGCAGCTGCTAAGATTTTTTCTTCAACACTATTTACTGTCATTAAACGTAATACACGAACTTCATTTACTTGTCCTATACGATGTGCACGATCTTGTGCTTGTAAATCCTTTAGAAAAACAAAAATCGAATTTTAAACAACTACTTTCTTTTTCTTTTTTTTTTTTTTATAAATTTTACTTGATGTGGATTCCAGTCGGAATCAAATATAACAACTGTATCGGCTTTTTGTAAATTTAAACCAAGACCACCAGCACGTGTTGATAATAAGAAAATGAAATAATCAGAACTAGCTTCACAAAATCTTGCTAATAAATCTCCACGTTCTTCAGATTTTGTTTGACCATCAAGACGTAAATAACTGAAATCTAAAGTACAAAGAGAAAAATTAAAATGAAATTCTTTTATTCTAACATTAAAGAATGTTTACTTTTATAAGCAAAATAATCTTCCATTATTGTCATTAATGATGTCATTTGACAAAAAAGTAAAACGCGATGATTTGTTGCTTTTAATTTTGGTAATATACGATCAAGTATTTCAAATTTACCTGATGCTCGATAAAGATCAGCTCTATGAACAAACAATTATATTTAAGAATATAAAAAACAACCCTAAATTAGGAAAATTTCTCTTTTATACCCATTACAAACACCATTTGCATAATTAAAATGTTCACCAATTTTTTCTTCTAATTCATTGAACATAAATGGATGATTACAAATTTTACGTAACTGCATTATTGTATTCATTAATGCTTTTGGATTACCTCCTTTACCATTCTAAAATAACAAGATTTTCTCTTTTATAATTATAAACGATAAAAGCTTAGTAAAGTTTTCTAGAATATGTCTCAGGATATAGAAATGTACAAAATTTGAAATAATCAAGTTTTTTAATAATAAATTATAATGAATCGGAGACTCCAGAATTTCGTTGTAGGTAGAGATCTAAGCCCAATGCATTGATCGGTGACGGCGGGTACAAGAGTTTTAGACTTCAACAGCAGGAGCTGAAATTTTCTGATGTGCTTTTTAAAATTTTCAAAAATGGAAAAGAGAAAACAATGGTAGGACAAGCAGTTAGACAATAATATCTTTACAAACTGATTTGAAATGTCG